ATGACTTCCCTCCTTTGTCCTTCTTTAGTTCTCAGTCATGGCTCATTTTGAACCGTATCAAAACAGAGATAAAATCCTTGATCATGATAAAGCCATATTTGAAGAAAACATTGACCCATCATATCATCTCCCTTGATCTTCATGGCAATGGAACACCTGAAAGTAATTTTTCATGTCTGCATGTTTGTGCCTGTTTTGCAAACTACAAGGCCTGGCGCTATGCCTTTCTTTCAATATAGGTTAATGGAGGAGACATTATACATGGGGGGATTGGAATGAGCCACTCTCAGAGCATGTGTGTGCATACTTATGCTTTAGTAGAGTGTGCCACGGGGTTGCCTTGGCTGCATCTGCTTCCTCTGCCTGTGTTCACTGTTTTCACGCATTGCAACACGATGGGCACACCTCTGGCTTGGCCAGTGAGGATTGGCTCCCTCTGTACCACGTGACATGTGGGTATCAAGGCTGACTCTGTCTCTATCCTAGTGAACTGCCCGAGTTTCCTGGATCATTGTGGGACATTTCAGAGAGTATCTAATTGCTCTGCTAGTCTGCATTTTTCTTACAACCCCATTTTCTGAGAAAACACTTATTGTTGTGAAGAAGCATTTGCCGTGCCACATTAGCAAATTATAAACATATTAACAAGTCAGCTGAGCAAGGTACTGAAGTGTTTAGTAGTTGATTACTGCAAATTGATTTTTAAGAAAGAAGTATTTGCTATTCAGACACTCCAGAAATGTTAATTGTTTAGCTTTCAGTTTAGTGCCAACAATTTGTCTCCTAGATGCACAATTATTTATTTCCTGTAACTTTCATAGGGCAGAAAAACTTGCAGCTGTTGTTGCCAAACTCTTTCAAATTTACCCTAATTCAGATACTTTTGAAATAATTGCTATCTCTGATGGGAACTAGGTAAGTAGTTTTTTTCATCTTGTGCACCATATTCAGCTCTTTTGTATCATGTATGTAAGTAACAACAAAGGTCAGTATAGCTAAAGCTATGGTTTTCCCAGTAGTGATGTATGGAAGTGAGAGCTGGACCATAAAGAAGGCTGATCGCCGAAGAATTGATGCTTTTGAATTATGGTGCTGGGGAGACTCTTGAGAGTCCCATGGACTGCAAGAAGATCAAACCTCTCCATTCTTAAGGAAATCAGCCCTGAGTGCTCACTGGAAGGACAGATCCTGAAGCTGAGGCTCCAGTACTTTGGCCACCTCATGAGAAGAGAAGACTTCCTGGAAAAGACCCTGGTGTTGGGAAAGATGGAGGGCACAAGGAGAAGGGGACGACAGAGGACGAGATGGTTGGATAGTGTTCTCGAAGCTACCAATATGAGTTTGACCAAACTGCGGGAGGCAGTGGAAGACAGGAGTGCCAGGCGTGCTCTGGTCCATGGGGTCACGAAGAGTTGGACACAACTAAACAACAACAACATGTAAGTAAGTATATGGTTGTAGTGGCAGTAGTCTGTTCAGCTCAATTTACAATTAGATCTATTTTAAAAAATCTGCTCCAGAAAGTTCTCTTCTACCTTGTGCTTTGGCACGTGCAATTAGGTGGCATGTACAAGAAACTTGTCTTGCTCTCTGGCAATTGCAGTTTCTGGGATATGCCAAGGCAGAAATCTTGTTTGAGAATTCAATCATCCCCCCACCTACATTTTAAAAATAAAAGAAAACAACAAGAGTCATGCTGGATCATACCAAAGGCTCAGCTGGTGCAGCTTCCTGTTTTCACAGCAGGCAACCAGATGATCTTGGAAAAACCACAAACAGGACAAAAGCACAGCAGCACTCTTCCCATTTATGTTCACCAGCAACTGGTAGTCAGAGTCATTTTTTAAATATGTTTTCATCAGTTTTCTGCCCTAGGCTCCTTTGGGAGGAAGGGTGGGATATAAATTTAACAAATAATATAGATGATGATAGATAGATAGATAGATAGATAGAGAGAGAGATAGAGAGATAGATAGATGATAGATAGATAGATAGATGATAGATTATTACACATGTAAAATTGACAAGTATTTAAATATGTAAATTTATTTTAATAATGTAAATTTTAACTACTGATTTTATTTATATGTTGAATTTCTTTAGGTCAACATGTTTGTAATATCTGACTTTTATCAATAATTTTAATGTAGAGTTCATATTTCATGCAAACCACTGAGTGGTGGTGGTTGTTGTAGACAAATTTTGTTAAATAAAAGTTTATCAATCAAACAAAAATCTTGGTACTTGGATGTAGCTCACAGCATCCAATGACAGTTTCACACTGAGCACTTCACTTCACTGTGACTATGGGGCAAATATTTTCCAGCTGACACCTACAAAACAGCCAGGTCAGTGGTAACATACAAATGTGGAGGGTTCCATTTTACCTTCCATGCTGGAGAGGAACACTTGGGAAGTCAATGCTCAGTTTGTAATATATCCGAGCATTATGAGGTACTTAAATTCTTATTATGAACCAGATAGTGACAAATTTCCTCCCTAATATGTAATGATGGATTTGTTCGATTTTTATACTGTTCGTCCTCCCAGTAATGCAGTTAAAACCAACTTCACAAAACAGTTCAAAGTTCCATTAAAAAATGTGCACTTATAAAATGGCAGTCTCGCATTTACAGCTGTTGGGTCCTTGGGCATTTAATTCCCAAATTTACTGGGAGAATAAATAAATCCCGGTGTCTTGTGTCTAAGGGCCATCAAAGAGGGCTGCATTGGTGTGGACCTACCGGTATATCCTTTTTTCTCCTAAGGCCGGGATTCCCAACGTGGGGCACACCCCCCCCCCAGGGAGGCAATTTGATTTTTAAGGGGGGCAATCTGAGAATGTGTTATTAACATATAATGGCCTTTCAGGCTTCCTCCATGTGAATAGGAGTTCGCTTTTTGAATAATAAGAATTATATGTCACAGTTTTTTAGAAATGCTTAGGTGGGACATGGCCAAAAAAAGGTTGGGAACCACTGTCCTAAGGGCAGTTTCGTTATCTATATGGGCCCATTTCCCTTAAAGGACGCACAATAAAAACAGACCACATAAACAGACTTAGAGCAAAAGGAGAGAGAAACTGAATGTTAAGTTAATTAATTCATTTTAAAAAAATCCCCCCTGCATGAACTTAGTTCCTCTGAATACGGCAGGAACAATAGGCAATTCTGAACAGATGCAAGAACATGTGCATAGATGGTGATTCTGGCACCTCCATCTCCAAGTAGAAAACTGCTCCTACATTTCCTCTGTGGCTGCAAAGGTGATAGCGCAGACGGCCCAGAAGCAGCTGTGTCTACGGCACACGCCTTCGTCTGCCTCCCATAATATATGGATCTCTGCAATATATCGTCAGATAAAAAAGGAGCGATCAAGACCGCTGCAATCCTGAAGTGTGCAACCTGCCTCGCCTCTTTGTACCGCGGCAGAATAATGCCCTCTAAATTATATTCCCTTCAGTTATAGCGGCAGAGCTCATGCATTTTATACATCAAGAGATCCTGCGTAGCTTCCCTTGAGATTTTGTGATAGACTGTAGCATATCGAGGCCCATCTCTCCCCAGGAAATAATGACCCTGGCCATGGTAAAATATTTTATCAGTGCAGCATTATCTCGAGATAATGGTACTATTAATGCTTGTCACTGCTGCATGCTTCCTGTAATTTGGTTTGCTTTGGGGGGGGGTCTTTTTTTAAAAAAAACTGCTGTTCAGCACTCTGGTGAATTGCTTAGAGTTTTATCACACTCTCCCACAACCCAGGTCTGTTTTCTGATCCAGAATACAATGCATAAACCTTCAGAATGCCATTGTCCTGTGGCATACCTGGGTGATCTTTCCCATGTAGCCCCTTTATTGTTTATTGTATGTTTTTCCATTTATTTAGTTGATAGTTGGGCAGTACATTTTCCCATCAAGAATGCACACTTTCTAATACATATTGCCCAGGTTATTATAAAAGTCATTTAACTACCAGGATGAAATTAGCTTTGTTGCAAACTCATCACATCAGAAACCGATAAACAGTATGAAGTAGCCACCTCAGCCTTGCACTCTTTATTTTATTTATTTAAAAACATTTCTAAACCGCTTAATATTTAAAAATCTCTGAGCAGTGTGCAAAAATGCAACATAAAAGCAATAAAATAGCATCATAAAAACAGCAAAGCAGTATTATAAAAACAGAAATTCAGTAATAACATGGTCCAATCTTATGGGTCATGGAAAGACTGGGCAAACCCCCCCACAGGTTTTTGCAAGATGTCTGTAGCAACTGATAGAATATTCTGTTGCCCAGGCAGGCACATTATGTGACCCATGAGAGCAGCAAAATAACCAGACTGTGATGGGATAAAATCAGGCCAAATCTTTATTGACAGGGCAAGGGTTGACATAGCATTGGGTCCCAGGATCAGTTCATCATTCCACAAGCCCCATCTTGATGGAATGGATCTGCTGAGTTTGGATCGATCCAAACCAGTGACCCCCAAATTGCTCGGTGAAGGCTCTAACCTGAGGGAGCACGGGCAGGAAGCTCTAAAAGCAAAATGGCTGTCAGCTCCAGAGAAAGCAGCCTTATATAGGCTTTCCCCTCCCTTCTGCAGCAACGGCTCGTGGGACAGCTTTTTCCCATGAGCACATCACACCGAGAAGATACTGGGCAAAACCTTGCCCAGGATTTTGGTGCAATGTATGGGCCACAGAGCCACTGGGCAAAGGCGTCCTGGGGAAAGACGCCCTGAGATCTCCCGGTATAGGGCAGTATACAGATTTAATAAATATAATAATAACATAGCCTTATATTCCATAATTCACCCTATATCCTTAGCCTCCTTTTTCCTTTGCCATATATAGCTATTTGAACAATATTTACTGCACGGAATTATGTGATGGTGAGAATATACAAAGGAAAGGTGAAGATAATGGCCTGAAATATTAAGGAATTTGGGAGAGCTATCCTGGAAATAGCCTTCTGAGATAACATGATGGGGAGGTAGAATGCGGAGCAATTGCTCGCTTGGTGGCATAGGAATGATGTGCTCGCTGAGTGAACAAGGCAAGCAGCTGGCAATCCAGGTGTCCAACATCTTGGGGATGGATGGATGTGGCATCGACCTCCTCATGAAGGATGATTGCTCGTTCTACGTCTGCGAGGCCAATGCAAATGTAGGTTTCATTGCCTTTGACAAGGCTTGTAATCTAGATGTAGCTGGTATCATAGCGGACTATGCCGCTTCCCTTCTTCCCCCCGGTCGCTTGACACGACGCATGTCCTTGCTCTCTGTGGTGTCCACGGCTAGCGAGACTAGCGAGCCAGAGCTGGGCCCTCCAGCTAGCGCCACTGTCGACAATATGAGCGCCAGCTCCAGCTCTGTCGACAGCGACCCTGAAACCACAGAGAGAGAGTTGCTCACCAAGCTCCCGGGTTCATGAACCAGCTAATAGCCAATGAGATTAAGCTCCTGGTGGAGTGATGCCACATGTAAATAAATATGACCAACTTTCTTGTACATTTTTTAAAAAAAACACAACATGATGGGGAATCAGTTGGACACCATGACACAGTCGTGCTCTGTGGAGACTGAAAAATATGTACAGTTTAGCAGGAGGAGCTAAAGACTGTATGATGTTTGGAGTGGAGATTCAACAGCTAAAGTTAGGGCAGTACAAAAATTGGCTAATCCCAATTTCCAAACTTGACTCCTGCATTGAGCATTGCTCAGTTCAATTTGGATTTGGTCCAATAACAGCTGGAATTATTTCTCAATTGGTAGTATATTCCTTAAAATAATTAAAACTGGCATGTGATCTGATACAATGAGTTCTATCCACAACTGGTGAAAATGACTTTGCTTCACTGAAGTCCATGCCCACATGATCATATATAACAAAAAATCTATCCCAGGCAAATTTTAATACAGTAGTATGTGTATGTTTTTTAACCATTCTCTTCAATGGTCATTTGGTTATTGTCTTCATCACCAGAGTACTGGAAGAAGGAGAAAAACCAATTACCATACAGAAGCATTATGTCCTTAACATGGAAAACATTAATCAAAACGTTGGAAGAATTTAAACATTTAACACTTAAGAAGAAATCAGGCCAGGAAGTAACTGGAATCAGATCTTAAGGGGTCTGGCTTCAATCAGACTGTGACACAACTGGCGAAGTTTTAAAGTAAATGATTACATAATTTGCTATGAGTCATGCGAGTGCTCTGTATTATTTGCTGTGACTAGCTCCCTAAATACATATTGAACTTCTTTTCAATAATTAATACCCCATTCTTCCTCTCTTCTAAGCCCAAATTCCACATTGATAACAGAAAACTATCCATTTTAAACAATGATAACAACAATAACTGAATGAAATGTTATATCATTTTCCCCATTATCAGAATATCAGGATGCAGTAGAAAATAGCTGGAATGTTACAATTAACGAGGAATATACTTTCACAACCAGTTTCACAGCTCTCTAATAAATTTAAGATTTAAAATAAATAAACAATATATTTCTCAAAAAGGAAATACCCAGAAATTTTGGGCCAGGCTATACTGTTAACCTGGACAAATCTAACATAGACGTAAAAGACCACATTCAGTGAGCTGCTCCTACTACAGTAGTGAAATCCTGCACAAGGAGTGCAATGAGGCTTCCCTCCCCCCAAATCCCAAGAACAGCAGGACATAGCGCAATGTCCAATTCCTTAGGAACCTATGCATGGATTCCTGGGAATAAGCTCCCTTGAAATCAGTAGTACTTACTTCTGACTTGCATAAGTTCAACTTGTAAAACACCCTGAGCTTTAACAGAAGATCTTTATCAGCTGAAATGCAACCTTTAGCTTTTAATTAGAAGTGCAAACAACCCTGCCAAGAAGTGTTGCCATTCAAACTAATAGCCTGAAGTTAAAGAGAAGGAAGTATCCAAACTCTGCTTGATGATTCTCTTTATCCTGTTAATCGCTCTATGCTAATGCGTCAGAAACAAACTTGAAAAGCTAATCATTGCCTCATTCACTAGCTGGACCAAGGAAAGTCCCTCAATTACCCCTTGCTCTGATGGGAAAAACAGTCATGGAGTTCCCCTTCATTCCTCCTCCTCCTCCTCCTCCTCCACTACCATGCTATTTTTAATACCATAAAAACACCAAGAAGGGTCTCAATGAATGCAATGAGAGCAAATCGGTGATAAGTCATTTTGTGTAGACTCATTCATGTCAAGGGGCTTGTGCAGAACTTCTTGTTGGCTTTTTTTCCAGAGGTATGGAATCAAAAGGGATACGGGTGGCGCTGTGGTCTAAACCACTGAGCCCCTTGGGATCAGAAGGCCGGCGGTTCGAATCCCTGCGACGGAGTGAGCTCCCGTTGCTCCAGCTCCTGCCAACCTAGCAGTTCGAAAGCACGTCAAAGTGCAAGTAGATAAATAGATACCACTCTGGCAGGAAGGTAAACAGCAATTCTGTGCGCTGCTCTGGTTTCGGTGTTCCTTTGTGCCAGAAGCAGCTTAGTCATGCTGGCCACATGACCTGGAAAAACTGTGCGTTCAAACGGCTGCGCCCTCAGCCTGTAAAGTGAGATGAGCGCCACAATCCCAGAGTTGTCTGCGACTGGACTTAACTGTCAGGGGTACCTTTACCTTAACCTTTTTATGGAATCAAAAGCAACATATTATCTGTAATCCCTCATTGCTTTCCCCCCTACCAATCCCATGCCAGTGTTACCCTAGTATACAGGTAGGAAATAAACTGCAATTGCTTAGCAGCAAGCAAAATAAGATGCATTTTACATATGCATGCCTAGAAGCATTTTTCTTCAGATGTTCTTGGACTCAGTGCTAGGATTAGGAACAGATTTTGCAGATATGTTCTGGCACAAGGCACCATTTTATTTTATTTTTTAGGGTTCAGCTTTTATTTTGAAGAACAGGCTACTGGGTCACATCCACATAACTAGCAAGTTAGGTTCTTCTTTTTCTTTACTAACCTGGTTACCTGACAGCGCAATCGTATATTTGTCTAATTGGAAGTAAGGCTAACTGAATCTAGTAGGACTTACTCCCAGGCAAGTAGGTAGAGCATTGCCGGCCAAACCACTTTAGATTTCACAGGTGGTGTTCAAGTAAGTATTTTCACAATTGCAGCCTGTGATCCTTATCCAGAGCCCAAATAAATGGCTGGGGTTAAATTATGATTCACCATTTCAGCAATTTCCAAGTAAGCAATAACTTTTACATTCAGTGATGCTGTTAGGAAAGGAACCTTGCAGCAGAATGAGCAAGAGAGCCCTCAAACACAAGGCTTATCATATTATGAAGGAAATGAAGAAATATAGATCACTGTCTAAATCTGCCACCCCCAAACTCGGCCCTCCAGCTGTTTTGGGACTACAACTCCCATCATCCCTAGCTAACAGGACCACTGGTCAGGGATGATGGGAATTGTAGTCCCAAAACAGCTGGAGGGCCAAGTTTGGGGATGCCTGGTCTAAATAGTGCACCCACCCCAGAAATATTTTGCATTCAGTGTTTGTGTTTATCAGGAATGGGGAACCTGGTGCCCTCTTAATGTTGTTGGACTACCACTCCTATCATGCATTAGCTCAGTTGGTTACAGCAGATCCCCTAAGGGTGCATTTTCCTTCATTGCAGGGAGTTGGATCAGATGATCCATGGGATCCTTTCCAGCTCTATGATTCTATCTTTCCATCATTACCACTGGTCATGCTGGCAGGGCAAGATCAGTGTTGAGAGTCCAACAAAACTTGAAGGGCTATGGGTACCGCACCAGTCCTGCTACATTTCTTTTACAAATAAGACATACTATTACAATTACAACAGCGAAATCAGAGGAGCATGATATGATCAGGGACATTTTCAAGCTCAAACAAAATAGCAGACAGGTGTGAAAGAGATTTGAAAGAAATGGTGTGGCGGAGAATAATTTCAGATTGTGTAGTTTGCAAGCAAGTTGATAAAATAAGAATCTGTAGGGCATTAAATGTACTTGCAGGAAACCTCCCATTTCACCATTACTGTACTGCAACCTGCTAATAATTTCTTGTTCTTTCCAGTGTGCTTCAAAGGACTATCAGAAGTAAATAAGCATAGCATGTGTGAAATGTATTTAATGCATATTAAAGTGCCAGCACAAAATTATATGCTGCAATGTAGGGATTAATCCCCATTCCCCTTCACCAAAATTTGGTGTGCATCTAAATAATCGCTTAGCCCTACTATGATACCCTGGTCAAAGAGATTTCAAAATCCCTATGCAGCACAGACTGTAGTAGATGATGTCTTGTGGCCATAGAACCACCTTCAGATCTTCTACTTCAGATGCTCTTTTACTTGATGTCTTCGCTTGCTAATCCTTAGGTTTGAGTCTATGTAGAAACATAATCTCTTTATAACTTCCTTTAGATCTTGAAAAGAGCTACTACATTTTTAAAAAATCCGCAGGCCTTGTATATATGATGCTTAGCACTTTTTCAATATTGATAAACATAATGGTAGTTTAAGGCTACAGTCCTATTCACACTTGGGAGTAATTCCCATTGAGTTCAATGGGGCTTACTTCTGAGTAGACACACAAAGGATATCTCTGAAATATCTGAGTATCTGAATATCTAAAATACAAAAAAATAAAAAACAGCCTAGGGCCAGATTCAGCTAAGCTGGTGCACTAGCAGAAGCTGGCACAAACCATTGGATAGGCAAACTCAGGCCCGGGGGCTGGATCCGGCCCAATCGCCTTCTAAATCTGGCCCATGGACTGTCCAGGAATCAGCATGTTTTTACATGAGTAGAATGTGCCCTTTTATTTAAAATGCATCTCTGGGTTATTTGTGGGGCATAGGAATTTGTTCTTTTTTCTTTCTTTCTTCCCAAAATATAGTTTGGCCCCCCAAAAGGTCTGAGGGACAGTGGACTGGCCCCCGGCTGAAAAACTTTGCTAACCCCTGTGCTAGAGCTTTGGGGCTAGCAGCTATGGGTCTGCAGACTATTACTATCTATCCTGTTCTTAAGGGCGCATCACAGGATGTACGCAGAACAACACATTTCTGAATAAAACTCACTAATTCTTTTTTGGTTTCAAATTGGCACTTCCTGAAGTTGGCTTTGGCAAATTAGGGATATTCCTTTCTCCCTCTCTGTTGTACAATATGTGAATGCATCACAATGCGGTTCCAGCTTCTCACAGTTCCAGCATGTTACAGAACACATGACTCCATAAGGACTCCATCACACTTCTGTCAATAGAGAATTAACTATTGGCTGTTATTCCTCAGTGGCTGGGTGTGCACAGGACAGATTAAAGCAACCCCAACCTCATCCAGTTGCTGATCACACAAGATGTGTTGGAAGGAGTTGCTGGCCTGGCTTAAAACCATAATCTAAGAGGTCAGTTAATGCAGTTGGCAGCCACCATGAATGCCATCTAAGTAGGGCCCCAGCTTGCCCCTACCACACCCCCACTGGCATTTCAGAACCCTGATTACATGATAGGATGGAGCTAGGGTGCTCCTTGCCACAGACCTGACCCTTGACTTATTTACTTCCAGGCCTGAGGATGGCTTAGATTATTTTGAATTCAAGTGCTCTAACTAGGCTAGCGGGTGGCAAATATCTGGAAACCATGAACTCCTTATAGTGAATTTAGTGGGTTTGGAGGAACTCCAAGGTGAGCCTCAAATTTTAGCAGCACCCTGCACAATGCCAAAATTCAGCATGTGCGCATTGTTGCCTCTCACACTCCATTCTAAGTAATACTTGTAGTGTCCCTGGAGGTGCCCCTGAGGCTCTGCACCCAGTGTGACCGAATCATGCTCCCTTAAATCCGTCTCTGAGAAATTCTGTAAACATACATGCATTGTAATTTTAATGATAGGTTTAGTGTTATGTTTGCCTAACATATTAAGTGGAAACTCAAATATTGGGTTGGTAATGAGATGAAGTTGATGGACAACTTGGTTTTGATGCTATCACACAGCAAGAGATGGAGATCCATCATCATCTCTCCATTCTGCTCAATTACCACACTTTGTATCCTTGTTTTGACTTTCTATACTGCTGATTTCCTCCCTTCCTTTGTCATCTCATTGGCCTTAATAAATCATTCCTTATGTCCTTTTAATTATAAAACCTGTAGCGTCAAACTCTACCTTTGTCCTCCTCTGCAGTATGCCAACTATCTCCTACTATCATAATGATGCAGCTTACATTAGTCACTGTTTGAACCTTCAGAAGTCCACATTATCATTATTTCTGGGCAGATGGAGCAGGTTGGTCATTTCCATGTCCAAAACCCAGTGGAGTCCTCAATGATCTTCTATCCGCCCCGCCCCCCGTCATTTCCTCTCCACTACATCCAAATTAGGCACAAGAGCTTGCACATAGATACACAATCCATTACAAATCAGGCAGGAATAGGACATATATCTCTAACACATATCTTTAACACCATAGCATTTTATACAACAATTCCCAACAAGTGTAATATCTTCTCTCAACACTGCAATACATATTTAAACATATAAGAAGAAAGAGCATTTATCAGTTATGCACCTCTTCTCACTAAATCCCAATCCAATCCAAAATCAATCACTGTGTGCATCTAAGAGAACATTTGGTTTTGTTGCTGTTATTTCTCGACCTGACGTTCTGCCACTCCCTTGAATATATTTTGTATGGCAAACCACTTTTGAAGCTGAGGTAGGTTCATAAGTAGTTTGTGACATGCCACACACTTTCAAAACTATCCCAGAAACCTTCCTGGAAATGGTGCCATGCGATCTTATAACATTCTTTCCTTGGGCTGTACAGGGGAGAGAGAGAGAGCTGCACGTTGACAGCATGAAGCCAGATTTTCCACGGTCCTTGGAAACAATGCCAAGTGATCATGTAACACTATTTTCTATGGCATTTCAATTTTGAAAGCATGTGGAAGGGGGCACACGTCCTAGCTTTGCAGAGAGACTTTTCCCTTGGGGGAACTTAAAGAAAATAAGAAATGTGAGTTGGATCCCAACAACATTTGGAGTGTCACAGATTTCCCACCCTGTTCTAAAACTGTAGCGCAGGTATGGAGAACCTTTAACCCTCCAGATGTTGCTGTCCCATCAGCCCCACCAAGATGGTCAGTGGCCAGGAATGATGGGAGTTGTAGTCCAACAACTTCTGGAGAGCCAAAGGTTCTTCATGTCTGCTATAGAGGGAGCAGACTTTTCCTGGTCCTTTTATCTACAGTTTCTTCCGTCTGCTGAGTAGCACCACTGAAAACTTTCCAACCTGGAAGACTGGGGCTGGATATCTAAGAAAGAAACTTACAAGAGAAGGCTAGACTTTAATATTATGCCACCTACATAGCCGTAAAGGGACAGAAATAACCCTCCTGTATCTAATAAAAACAGTCATGTAGCCAGATCTGTTTTTGCCTCTGATACAGTCTGTAGGGTTTATGTTATATCATCATGGAATAAGGACATGCCAATTTTGCATTGAGCTCACAGCATATTTAGGAATGCTTTTCAGGTGTGCGAATAAGCTCTTTAAAAGAATAGCAGCCCTGTATCAAAAAGTTTACGTAAGCCAAGTTATGCAAAGTACACATCCATTGAAACGATGTTCCTACATAAATTAATATCACCTCCTTAGCTTCCATCTCAACTATGAAAATTGGCTCCATCTGTTTCATTTCTATTACTTTTTTTAATTAGGAGGAAAATTGTCAAGGATATCTGAAAATTCCTCTTCACATTATCAAACGCAGAGAAGAAAGGAAAGCTTTTATCCTTTATTTCATTTGTCTTACCTACATGATAATGCTGATTATGTCTCTTTTATTCTTTCATAAGCTTCACTGTTTGTTTCATCACTGAAAATGTGAGCAAATTTACTGTTCTTATATCTTTGTTTACTCCTTTTTTCCAAGTTAGATTTTGATAATGCTTCCTTTCTAGTAATAACAAGAATTGGATGCTTGTTCAATGAATACACTTTTCTTCTTTGCCTTATCTTTAGATGAAAGCAGTTTCTTTGAAACTACACAAAAAGACACCTAAATTAAAATGCCATATAGAGAAACTGCAAGAACGAGTCTTTCTTGGAAGGGAAAAAAATTACATGGTTTACACCCCTCCCCTTACTTAAAATCCCAATGACTTATAGCATCTTTCAGCTTCCTATACAGTGGTACCTCGAGTTAAGTACTTAATTCGTTCTGGAGGTCCATTCTTAACCTGAAACTGTTCTTAACCTGAAGCACCACTTTAGGTAATGGGGCCTCCCGCTGCCGCTGCATCACTGCCGGGCGATTTCTGTTCTCATCCTGAAGCAAAGTTCTTAACCCGAGGTACTATTTCTGGGTTAGCGGAGTCTGTAACCTGAAGCGTATGTAACCTAAAGCGTATGTAACCCGAGGTACCACTGTATTAGATATTTTTAAAATAATAATTTAAAAGTCTAGTTTAAAATTCTTTAAAAAGTTTCCATTTCAGTATGAAAATATCATGCTGTAAATGAATAAGGAGAGGAACAACCCATGCTGCTCAGTCCTAGAGGGTGTGGTGTTTTTTGTTTTGTTTTTTAAAAAAACTTTCCAGCCAAGAAAGTTGTGAACAAATACTTATTCAGCAGTTTAATGGAGGTCTAAAATGGGACTTGAAAAAGATCTAGCTGTGAAAGGAGCCCTCTTGGGCCAAGACACTTTGAGAGCCTTTCTCCCCTCCCTGGAAAATTTGGTGTGGTCCATTATCATGCCCCAATAATTCAGGAGCCACCACAGCAAGCAAGAGCAACACAGATATTGTCCCAACTCCAAATTAGCCAAAGGAGGAATTTTGTGCTGGGGCAGTGGGGGTCTCTACCCTTAACACACATATCTTGACTTGACCTATCTGATAGAGAAGCATATAGGCAGGGTTGGAATTCTGGAAAGGCCATTGTGGCAGGCCCAACCTACCTCCTTATTTTAAACGGTGGGTCCAGTCTACCTTCTTGCTATTCTCTTGGGGTCTTAGGGTCTGTTCACGTTACACCTTACAGTGCAGTTGTTCTTCTCAGCTCAGGCATTGTACAATTCTTTCCTCTCCAGCTGTTCACATCAGCACAGCTTTGTTAGTGTCAGATTAGTTTCTGTTCCAGTCGGACTGAGAAACAACGCATCAAACAGTTGTATTTTGTAGCAAAGTACAGGATAGGTTGGATGTTGCCCCCAGAGATGCACCCCATTGTCTTTTGAGACAAAAGGATGCCAACAAAATGGGAGTCAAGAGTCTCAGAACCCCTTCCCAGCTACCCTGGAACTTGCCCCTTCCCTCTGTGATTTTTTTCCCAGAGTCCTACTTGTTTTTATTCATTTATTTAATGAGACAGTGGCATCTTAACCAACAATAAGTTTAAGGCAGATTGTAAATTCACATAAGATTACATTTCACATTTATGCAGGAGTAAGTCCTATTCGGTTCAAGAAGGAATGCATAGAATTGCAGTCTGTATTTAGTAGGCTTACATCTTCTGTTTAGGGAAACATCAAATACTGTTGAGCTATGTGTTCATGGAGAAGCCTCTCGTTGTGAGGGGAATACCCTATAATGTCCTTTTCATTTTTTTAGGTGCAGAAAATACCACAAACCCATATGCAGCCCGCACCTACAGTTCTCCGGCCACTTACTTCAAAGAAGCACATGACTTACTCCAACTTAAAAGAGATAATTCACTTGGTAAAATGGGCGTGTTGAGTGCGTGGGACTGAGTTTGGTATGTGGTAAAGCAGTAGCTTTGTGCTTTTGGGGTTTTTTTAAAACCTGGTTTGCAGATCATTTATCATGTTATCAAAGAGTTCCCAAAGGTCACTTGAGCAAAAAATGTCAGTGAAGTTGTAAGCTCGCTATGACCACTTCACCTTGTATAGAAATCAGAATGGATGTACTCTGCTCAAATTCTCAACAGTCCAATTCAGTTGTCTGAATAACCTCTAAGCAGTTTGAGCATTATCGTTAGGGAGACTTACCTACTAGCCGGGAAGATGCAATTTGCTTTCATTATGTTCAGCTTTCAAGAGTTGCTTTCACACCAGTTCTGACCTGCCAGCCAGACATACAAGCATTTTTAGTTGGCCTCTTTGATATTTTTTTAAATGATTGAGATTAGAGCAGGCACACTAAATATTTATGGCTGATTGCAACCTCTAGCTGATTTTTTCTTGAAAAAATAACATTCTGAAAATACAACACTCTTTAAATGTTTGATTAAGGATACCTTTTATTTATGTCAGCACAAAGAAGAGTGCAGCTGTACAAAACATACATCAATGTCCAAAGTTAAAAGACATTAAAATTCATAAGGTTCATTTTCTGACGTTCTCTACAAACTGTAGCTGAGAGTTTGTCACAGAGTTAACATCAGCAATAAAATTATATAACTGCTGGTGTCACATTCCTTGAGGTACATTCAGAGGCATCTACAATTTTACAGACAAGTTTTACTTATTTCAAAAATGAACATAAATTATCCTTAATCTTACTTTCTGTAATAGTAAAAGGATGTGTCAGAGGAAATCATCTATATTCCAGGGAGGTTTAGCTAAGACAAAGATGAGATTCGGGGTTGTTGTGTTTCATTTTGTTCCATTACATGCAACGCCAACAAAACTACAGAAAGTGAAAATAATTTACAGCAATCCCCTTGTTTAGTAAAGTAGATTAGATACAAAATTTTGTGACAGACTTACTGGCACTCCAAGCAGACGGTTCAGAATTTCCTGTTGCCTGAGAAGGAATGCTATTGTGCCTTTGTCTAGATGGTGGGTTTCCAATTGGCCACTGTGAGAAAAGAATGCTGAACTAGATGGATCTTTGGTCTGACCTCATAGAGTCCTTCTTACGATTCACTAGCCCTGTTTGGTTGTTTCATTTCTGTGCGTGATAGCACTCATGTGAGGGGGGAGCCGGAGTGTGCTGCCAAGGCCCACCCATTCCCACATGTTTCAAAGGCTCACCTGTGACCCTCCAGATTTTGGTAGACTACAGTTCCCATCATCCTTTCCCAAAGGCTATGCTAGCTGGGACTGGAGGGAGCTGGAGGGACATAGTTTTCCCATTTCCACAAGGAATGAAATCACAAGTCCAAGGGTAGCTCCATTGCAATATTGCCTCAAGCAAGATGGCTGTGGATAGCGGTTGAGTAAGTTCATTATTAAAGATACATCAGGGTGCTCAACAGCACATACATACACTTAACACCTTCCCAGGTCACACTGAACCTATGTGAAATGGCCACCACATGTAGGGGGAAACACTTATAGTACAATGGTATAGAACTCCAGTAAGAAACTGAGGACCTCACATGCTTATTCTGACAGCTGTTGAAAATGTGACACCTCTGTTGGTGGTGATGTAAACAAACCAAAAGTATTCCTGGAAATAAATTCTCACAGCAATAAACAAAAAAGTTAATAAGAAATTTCCCTTGACCCCAAGGTATTGTTGCAAATGTATGATAAAAGACAGGTGGCAAAGGGATAAAGAGACTCTCCACTTTTATATGATCATGACAGCTAGAATTGTTTGCACAAAGTATTGGAAAACAAATCATATACCTAGGCTCAAGAGAATGGTACATCAGATTGTGGAAATGGCCATCCTGAATAAATTAGCTTGAGCTTGTCAAGCTAGTCTGGGAATCATACAAGGTTTTGACCGAGACTGGAAACAGTGCAAGCAATTCTGAAGTAACAAACAAATCAGCTGTTAGTAGTCATTTTCTGCTTTTATAAATTCTATTATATAAGCAGTCATGAGTTGGGGGGGTAGCCTTTTGAGATCCCACCCCCCAGTTGTAGTAAACATTCCTCAGGATTAAACAAAGTTTGTTTGCTCCACACTTCCATTTCTTGTAACATCGTTCTACAAAGTTTGCAGCAGCAAAAACAAATAAGAAATATGCTCTAAGATGACAGTCACAAGACTTGAGCGGTGATAGCCATGTGGTCGGATGGTGTGAAACACCCCACGTACTGGGACATGGTCAGATTTCCAAAAACAGAAACCCTGTTCCCTAAAATTAGGGGCTACCAGGACCCCCTGATGGGTTCTAGACTGGACTGCACTGCTTGGATCTTTTGGTTGCACTTGAGAATTACATCAAAAGAATAAAAAATGGTTCAGGTCAATAAAACTGCCCATGCACTTCTCTATCTATGGGCATGGAGTCATCCCACAGGCAGAACTGGCACAGATTTGTAGATTCACACTGCGGTCTGAATGCAAAGCCAGCTGAGAAAATGCACCCCAAACTAATTTTGTTCCTGGGCTTCTGTCAAGAACTAAGAAGCTGGACATATTTTTACATTTCTTATTTCCCTAAGTCATGGAACAGATTTATACAACCATTTTATATAATAACAATTCCTGCCAAAGGATTACAAATCATGCTGGACAATCCAGACAAATGGACTCAACATCTATTATGACCACTTTTACAACTTTAGTGTAAAGCGAGAGGTCTCTCCACCTCCTAATAATAGCATGAAGAACTTCCACTGCAGTTCCAAGGTATTTGCACTACAGGAGAAAGTGCTTCAATCTTAACTATGGCAAGCAATGAAGAAAAATAACACGGGGGAGGGAGGGATAGTAGAGGCACTGATAGCAGTAGAAGGCTACCAAGAGCAGGAATATAAGAAAATACAGTTCTATAAAACAAACCACAGCAGCAGACACCTTAATCGTCCAGCCAAATGCATGCTGAAATACAAAAAGCTTTCTGTCTTATTGTAGAAGTGTATGGGGTGGAATATGTTTTTGGGGCTTCCAATTCAAACTATCTTCCTAAAAAACCAAAATAGTCATTTTGAGTCAGGAATGTGTGGGTTTTTTGGGGAGGGAGGATTTATTGACTCCCTCCACCCTGATGTTCCAGTGTCCACCATCTGGCTAGACCCCTGACATATCAAAAAATTACCAGATCCCACACTCTAATCCAGGGTTTTCCAAACGTGAGGATCCAACTATTTTTGGACTAGAATTCCCATCATTCCTAGCTATCAGGACAGCGGTCAGTTGAAGAGAACTGTAGTCCAAAAACAGCTGGAGACCCAAGTTTGGGAAAGCCTGCTCTAATCAGTCCACCTACCCATGGATCTCTATGATAATCAATACATGGCTCTGTCAATCCATTAGGTTATGATAAGCCCTAGTGGTGGTGTAGTGGTTAGAGTGTCAGACTAGGATTTGGGAGACCAGAGTTGAAATCCACACTCGGCCATGGAGCTTGCTGGGTTCATGCCTTGCTAGCCACAGTTTGGAAGTTCCTCTTGTATGGTATTGACTGCATCCATGTTACTCCTGGTAGTAGCTGAAGGAACTGCATCAAGGGAACCAGCAACTGTGCTTTGCTTGTTATTTCTTGCATTTTTATTCCTCCCTGTTCTGCCTTCCTTTCAAAAGTGGAGGTTTCATCTACTTGGCATCGGCAGGCTTTGCCTTAGTGGGGAAAAACTGGATGGCTTGACTTCTGAAAATATTGGACAATTCTTTCCAAACAGAATTGTTTATTAACTTCCTGAGGGGGTGACTTAAGAAATAAGGGAGGAAGAGAAAGGAAGAAAAGAAAAGAAAAGAAAAGAAAAGAAAAGAAAAGAGGCTGAAAAGCAGTAGGGTGAGCTTTTGGAGTCCAGCAGAGCTGGTTCTGAGGAGCATAATTAATATCTAGAAACTTTTCACTATTAACAGACTAAGACAATCTTTGCTGATCTCTGCACAGTTTGTGTCCAAGGATGACCAGCTGAGAGATTAATCAAGTCATCCAAAGTGGAAAATTAAAAGCCATGGGGATAACACCGTCAGGGTATGCAAGGTGGCTCTCCTGCAGAAACAGAGACCTTGGCGGTGGCTTGATGGTCTTTGAGACATTTGCTTCTAGGCAGTCAAGTTTTCCACTGTAGTTCTTCATCTTTCTCTCACTTTTCCAATGAAAGAACGGAGATTGCCCAAGGCACAAGAATGCCGGTCTTGAGGTGTTAAGCTGTGGAATTTTCTGACTATAATGATGATAAACATTTTGTCTTCCAGATGTGAAAATAGGACAGTACCAGGAGGTGCTTCTTCATCCTTCTCCATGTCTTCTGTTAGTTTAAGCTGTCTATTTGTTCCCGCAGAGTAGCAGGAACCTCATAAATGAGCCTGCCTTATTCACATTTTGGTGTTTCAGTTGGGTGTAATGATCTGCAAACACATTTCCAAAAAGCAAAGGGATGACTAATATCATAGTTGCTTATATGTGCAGCCTGAAATCATTAGGTATTTATTTCTTTGATACAGAAGCCTTGTTAGGATGCATCTCAAACAGAGTACTGCTCACTGCCTAGCTGCAATCCAGTCCCCCCTTAAACAAGGTCGTCACGGTTTTGGATTGAACAAAGGTACCCATCTCTCTGCTCTCTCCAGCCAGGTCAACTGGCCTGCCACCAGAGAGGCAAGCGGGAGCCTCGACTGCAGTCTCCCACCCAACAAAAGTGGTATCCCTACCAGTGGAGGCTGCTTGGTCCCTACAACAGGGCAACCCAACAGCAGGGCTGAGCTGGCCTGGGATCCACTGGATCCCAAGCTGTTCTCACTGCCACCGCTGGCAGACAGAGGGCCTGATCTGGGCCCAGCCTGAAACCTAGTGCTATCTACCTGCCCCACCCACCCACCTACTCCTGCTGCCTCCATGAGCAGCTGGGCTGCGGGTGTGGTGGCATCTCAGCCACTCCACAGAGTCTCAGTGGTGGCAGCAGAACGTTAGGACTGCTCTGCTCAGAAGCACAAAGTGTGCAGGCATGCCTTGCTGAATTGCAGCCTGAGGTAAACCCGAGAACACAGAGCTGAAACAACTGCCTATTGCTTTCCCCTTTGCCTCGTGTCCACTTACCTCCCCGCCTTCTATTGTTTCCCAAGCATCAAATGCCATATTGTAAGCTCCTTGGGGTAGGGGCCTCTCCTCTTGTATTCTGTTACACACCATGCACATTGACGGTGCCACATGACAGATGATTTCACAAATCACTGCTGTTGTGTGAGGGGGGAAGAATTTTTATGTTGAAAGCTTGCCTTGTGTTAGTCCCATGGACACATTTTGCAGTTATTTGTGCAGACCATTAAAAGCCACAAAAGGGGTCTGCATTTATCCCAGCTCTCCACATTTACCCGTCCCTCCTCTTTCTCTACATTTGACAACAAGGGCCTCACACGCAGCAGCGCTTAAAACTGGCGGGGGGAAATGAAAAAAGAAAAAGAAAAGAACAGACTGAGCGATTTAATTAACAAATGCAGAAGAGAGACAGAAATGGTTGAGATTCCTGCTGTAAGATTTACATAGATGGACAGGATGGAGCTTGCTCAAGATGTGGGGAGGGTACAGTGGGGGAGAGAGTGGAAGACTCTGTCCAAAAATAAAATGAATCCATATATGCAGAGAAAGAATGGGTAGCCATTTTGCAGTTAGGAACAGTTTGTATATTAAGGGATGTATCTAACTTGCAAATAACAGGTGGGGGGGGGGAGGAGGAAATTTTGATTCAGTTTGTGGCAGGGGCAAAAGGTTAAAGCTTCCCTTCCTCTATGATACAAACCTGACCTAGCGCCAAATATCAAACAGCCCTGAGTAGGCACAAGCATCAGTTAACCAGCATGCTAGTAACTAAAGTAACTTGTAACACTGAAGGGCAACTGGATGCTGATAATTTTATGCTGCGAGCTCCAAAGGTTGCCTAGCAACTGACTGACTTGCCACATCCACACCACACATTTAAAGCACTGTGGTACCACTTTAAACAGTCATGGCTCCCCCAATGAATTGTGGGAGCTTTAGTTTGCTAAGAGTTTTTAGGATACCTCTATTCCCCTCACAGAGCTCCAATTCCAGAAGTTTTCTGTGAAGAAAGATTGTTAAACCAATCTGGTTGTTAAACCTGATAATTCTAGCTCTGGGAAGGGAATAGGGGCCTCCTAGCAACCCTCAGCATCATTAGCAAGCTACAGCTCCCAGGATTCTCTGGGGGAAGCCATGACAGTTTCACGTGACATCATAGTGCCTTAAATGCATAGTGTGTTGGGGAACCTCAGGCCCACGCAACAACCGTAGCTCTCCAGGCCTCTCTGTTTGGCACCTCAGGACTCCCCAGCCCTGCCCCCTCCCAAGGCCACTCTCCACTCCCAAAGCCCATCTCTTACCAGCCCTGCTCTGCAATCTTCAAGGCCTTTGGCCTGGCTGGAACATGTAGCTGAACTGTCACAAGGGCTCTTGCACACCTGAATGGAGAATGAAGAGGGCTGTGTGGGTGTGCATGCTGAAACCTTGGACTGGAATGTCAACTATTGTGCAAAGATAAAATTTGCATGGGTTATAGCACCCACTTTTGCCTCTGGTCCCACCCACCGCTGGCGTGGAACCACTAGAAGGTCTCCAATGACTGCAACCCTCGGCCCAAAAAGGTTCCTCACCGCTGGAGGTTTCAGGCAATTCTGAAATTGATGTGGAGCTGTTTGTCCCGTAATATTTTATACAGTGGTACCTAGGGTTTAGAACTTAATTAATTCTGGAGGTCCATTCTTAATCTGAAACTGTTCTTAAGCTGAGGTACCACTTTAGCTAATGGGGCCTCCCACTGCCGCCAGTCTGCCACCACGTGATTTCTGTTCTGAAGCAAAGTTCTTAACCTGAGGTACTATTTCTAGATTAGCGGCGTCTGTAACCTGAAGTGCCTGTAACCCGAGGTACCACTGTATAATAATTTCCTTCTGCAGCTTCTTCTTTTAAAAGCACACCCAGCTGTAAGTACCTGGAAGCCATTTTTACAGCAATTCACACTAGCTTATGCAGGCAGGGGTGACTTCCCAATATGAGTGTACTGAATGGGCAACCATTATTACAGTCTTCCTGGGATGGTTCCCCAGCCCCCCGCCCCCCCGCCGCAGGCATATGCATTATTCTGCACAGGTGATCTGCACCTCTAAAATGACTAAAATTGTGCCAGAATAAAAATTATAGCAGGTGGCAATTTGGAGAGATAGAGAAATAAAGTATTATAATTATAGTTAACAATTATATATAATGATATGCAGGCTGTTACTTTAATACTCATCTGCGTCATTCTGCAAATGGGATGCTGCACCTTTGCAACCTCTGGGACAGATGGAATTTCAGCTTCAATGAGCCCTTTGAGGAGCACTAGGGAAATATGTCTGTAAATAACAGACCATTTATTTTGGCACAGGGCTTCTTCTCTTGCCCAAATGAAGTGCTGTAGCGGAGTCTCCTTGAGAACATGACATAACAGAATGGATAATTTGTCTGTTCCCAAAGGTGACTTTTCAAACACTGTTTTAAAATAATCTGCTGTGGGGATAAGGAGACATAACAAGGCAGGGAAGGCAAATGAAGTTCAGCCTGTTTGATAGAGAAAAAGAAATTTCACCTTCCCTGTCAGCAGCTCTGTCTTATGGAAATTATACGGGTGGATTTATGGAAATTCTTTTTTTTTTTCCTTCTCTATCTCAGCTTAAAATGGAAGCAAGTTCCAAAACTGTTTCTCCATGTTGAAACAATTTCTCCAAGGGAAGGCGATTACAGTGAAGCTAAATAAATATTTGATTTCTAGATGCCCAAATCATGGCCACAGTAAGGACTGTGAATTACAGCAGATTTACGTGTTTGTCCCAGGAATGGTTAAGCCGCTTTATACTGAATCAAACCATTGGTTTACTTAGCCCAGTGCTTCTCCATAGGACAGACTGAAGGCCTTTCCCCCAGCCCTTTCGATGCGTTTTAAAATATGGATTTATTCTGCAGATAATCAATAATACACCATCACGATCACAATGACACAGTCACATCATAAACAATACCTAAACATATTAAAAATGACAACATTAGTATCTTAGAAACCTTAAAACCCATTAAACATAAAACATTTTAGATTCAAGCAAGTCTTATATTAATATGGCTAATACTGTATATCACTATTTGATCTCAGTCTTAGGATGATAACAGACAAAGTGGGCCTTGCTTGAATATGACTAACAACGGCTATGGCCCTTAAATTTCTCATGATTATCCAGTAAGCTTTTATAATATCTCATTTAGACCAAAGCAGTATCAAAACTTACCTATCCGTAAATTAGTGGGATAAATCAGCCTCATATAACCAAAGTGCTTAACTCTAATTAATGCATGAAAGAGTTAATGCATGGAGGGGTTAAGATCACAGAGTAAGCTGTCCTGCCAGCCTCAGCTATGTCATTCCCCCTCACCTTAGGAGAAAGGGTTACCAAACTCTTTGTTCTCTTACTTCCAGTGCTTTTTTTCTTTTAAAAAAAAACGTTTATGGGTACTCTCATTTTCCTACTCATATTGAAATACTGTCCCTCAATGAAGCCAAACTTAGATTCACAAAATGTTTAGGGGTATGCATACCCCTGTGCCCCCGCAAAAGGCACTGCTCACTTCCATCATGTGAACCCAACAAATAAGGAAGTGTAAGCTTAGACCACATGGCTTAAGTGAACCTCTCTATGTTTCTATACAAATATTTTGAAACATTCAATATTTTGGAACCTCTTGCTGCTGTATGGAAAAGCACATGAATCTGACAGTTGAATGGTTCATAAGCAAATCATTTTTAACTTACCAAACATGTGGTCTCTTTCTATGCTAAGGGAAGTGGGGAACGTTGGAAGCAATTTAGAAGAGGTTATTTTAAAGGTTGGCTTTACTTTGCTGCATGTTTTGTGATTTCAAATCTCTGTTGGGGCTCCCTCACCAGAGTCCTTGTCCCAAACTTGGATCTAGGCATCCAGAGAATTCTCCTTTTATAAAATCTAGTATCTTTTATCCTTTAAACAAAATACAAAAAAACCTCCAACACTTACAACACATGCCGGGGGGCCAGGGTCACTCAAAACAAGACACAACAGACAAAGAGAACAAGCAAACCAGCAAGCAATATGAAGACTTTGTATCTTTCCCTCTCATGTTTTTGCAACATAGGGAAAGAATTGCTGCAACCCATATTTGCTTATTGTTCTAGAAATCTCTA